GGGAAGCAAGAGTCTTCCCGGCTCTTTCATAGTGGCTTCTATTTCTCTGTCAGTCCGCGCAGGCCACCCTGTCAGGCCAGGCCAGCCGTCTGCCTGGGCATTTCTGTGGAGGAGCCACCAGGTTCTGTTGCAGGTGGAACTGAGGTCAGGGCCCTGACAGGCGGTCTCCTGTGGCAGCCCCCTCATGACCTCCAGCTGACCTCAGCAGAGTGCTGCCTTGCTCCTGACCCTCCCTGCCCAGGCAGGCCGCGGACACCCTCCGCCACATAGGGCTGGCAGAAATTGGGTGGGCCTCTGTCCCTGCGCTCGGAGCAGGGCAGAGGTAGGGGGAGGGACAAGATGACCCAGTATGTGGCCCTGTCTGAAGCCAGCCAGGATGAGGCTCTTTCCTGGGAAACTTCTTTCACTAATTGACTTGCAAATGCCTCGTTTGTCCCTGGATTCATAATTAGTGCTAAGGATTTCTAGGGCCCCATCCTGGAGGGGCTTTTTTGGAGCGGCCTGTTCCTCTCCCCTCTCTGAGGTCAGCCTGAATGGGGGTGGGCAGAGCTGGGCACCGGTGCCCAGCTGCTGTCCAGCATTCCCACGACTCTGGTGCCAGCATGTAAAAGGCGAGGTGCAGGGAGGTGGGGGAGCGGGGACCAGGGCTCCCGCCATCCTTCAGTGGGACCAGGGCCAACTCCCTGAGACTCCAGGAAGTGACAGAGCTGGGAAATGAGCAGTGGCCGTGGTGGGGGCTGGCTGGCTAGCACCCCCAGGAAGGAGAGCCCCGCCGGTCCTGGGGGCCTGGCATGGTTGAGCCTCCAGCACAATGAATGGGCCAACAAGAGGCCTCTCTTCCCCATGGTTTCCCCACAAAGGCCTTGGCTGCACCATTGGACGTGGGGGGGCTGGGGCCACTGAGGAAGAGGAGAGGCCATTCTCAAAGACACCCTGACTCCCAGGCTCTGCACTCCCAGGAAGGGGGCCTGGGCCAAAGGCCCAGGGCCTTGGGTTCAGGCCCAGTTTGCACTTGGATCTGCTGAGCAAGGAGGTCGCCCTCCCAATCTCTCTGGGCCTCAGTTTTCCCCGCGGTAATATCCCTGGCATCCTTCCCAGCCCCGATGTGCCCCTCAGCATTTCTACCCACTCAGCTGTCACCAACAGCTCCGTCCCACCTCCCACTGCCAATTCTCAGCCCTGGGCAGGCCCTGTCTGGGTTCGATGCCGCCAGACCTCCCCTCGGGGTGTATCAACACCCCTCACCCAGGCATTGCCCCCCAGTCCCTAACACCCCCATGCACCTCCCTTCAGGTCAGGAGAGCTGCTCCAGTCTCCGCGTGCCAGGAAGTAGGAAAGTTCTAAACTGTGTCTGCCTGCCAAGGAGTCCAACAGGGCCCGCCATTTGCAAACCATGTGACCTAGACGTGTCTGATAGCTTGTCTGGGCCTCACCTGTGAAAGCCCTCAGGTCATCTCCAGGATCCAGTGTGACTGCAGGCGGAAGGCTCTGAGTAGGGAATTGGCATGAAGTGGGTTCTCAATCCACGTTCCTTTTATTCCTCTCTCCCTCCCAAAGCTTTTGGTCAGTCTTCCTGTTTCCCTATAAGTGACATGTTCTTTCATGGTCTACCCCCATCTTTTTTTTTTTTTAAATATATTTTATTGATTTTTTACAGAGAGGAAGGAAGAGGGATAGAGAGTTAGAAACATCAATGAGAGAGAAACATGGATCAGCTACCTCCTGCACGCCTCCTACTGGGGATGTGCCCGCAACCAAGGTACATGCCCTTGACCGAACCGAACCTGGGACCCTTGAGCCCGCAGGCCGATGCTCTATCCACTGAGCCATACCGGTTAGGGGCTCCCATCTTTTCTTGCCTGACTCTCCCAGCAGTTTCCATTTCATCTCCAGATATGGCCATTTTCCTCTGTTAAGTCCTTCCTGAAGTCTAACCTATTGCCAGTTGCCCCTCCCCAGGCCTGGCCTCTTCCCACTAGCCCTGCAGCTGGGGCCCCAAGGGAAGGGGGTGGAGGTGGGCTCTATGGTAACTCTGAAAGAGAATGCTCTCTCCTCATCTGCATACAGACAGTCTCATTTGCATAGAGACAGGTCTCATCTACATAGGCTCAGTAGGACTCTGAGAGCACATTCCCACACATTCCCCAGCGTCTGCCTGGACCCTCCTGGCATCCCCGTCTAGGGAGGGTCCTTCCCCAGCCCTACTGCCCCTGCCTGGGTCCCAGTTTTTTTCTTTCCAAAAGGCAGTCCACCCTCTGTCGCTCCTCTTGCACCTGCTGTCGCTGGTGCCCTGCTCTCTTTTCCTGTGCTCAGTGGGTTATCCCACCTCCTGCGCCTGCTCCAACTCCTTCACCAGGAGCCTCCCTTCCCAGCCAGGAAGGAGGCCATTAGTGGGGGCAGAGGGCTGGCCCCAGTCACTACTGCCAGATGGATGCTCGGGCTCTGCAGTCCAAACTGGGCGTGGGGGGAGGCCGTCCTGGGCAACTTCCCTCATGCTGACCCCAGGCCAGACCCGGTCTCCGGTCTCCATTCACCTCTAGTCCCCAGGGACCGAGAGGGGTGGTGGTGAGGAGGGTCGGAAGTGGGTCCTTGCCAGGCTGGGCAGCAGGAAGGTCCTAAAAGGAGGCCTGGGAACCTCAGAGACACTCCCCTGGGCCTGGAGGGCCTGGGGCCCAGTCCCTTCCGTATGCCACACGGATGCCACGGCATCCTCTTCCTGCCTGCTTCCTAGGCCTCAATCAGCCCTCCCAGACCCTGTCCTTGTGGGGGACCCTGGGGCTCTTTGGCTTATAGGTTGGGGAGCCTGAGAGTCCTGAGAGTCTTCTGACAGGCGTCCACCAGGCTGAGGACCCTGGACACAGCCCTTCCCCTGCCTGGCCTTGTGTCCTCTGTAGAATAGGAGCTGGGCCAGACCGGGTCGCTTTAGTGTGACCCTCCTTCCTGGAAACCGGGCCCAGGGGCCCAGCCAGCATTCTGCATGCAATTTCAGCAGACATGAGATCCCCTGAGGCACCTCTGACCTTAGGCTAGGAGTCCTGGTCTAGAAGAGCTAAAAAGTTGTGATCAATGTTTAAGTGGGACTGTAGACACATTCTTTTTTTAAATTTCTTTAATAGGGAGAGGGATAGAGAGATATAAACATTGATTAGAGAGAAACATCGATCAGCTGCCTCCTGCATGCCCCCTAACGGGGATCAAGCCCAACCCGGGCCTGTGCCGTGATTGGGGGGCCTCTCAGTTCATGGGTCAATGCTCAACCACTGGGCAACACTAGCTGGTTGTACACACATTCTTGAATGTCTGTGGAGTATCTCAGGGAAGACACAGGAACCAGTGGTTGCCTCTGGGGACAGAGGTGAGTGGCTGGAGACAGGGATGGGAAGGAGACATCCGTTCCCTTTCATGCTGTTAGAATTGAATCATGTGTATTATCATAAGCTTGTTTATTTAGAAAAATTCCAGGATTCAGACTATTTTTCCATGGAGGCGTTGTTCCATTAGATGAGAGGAAGGACTTTTTATTATTTTTTAAAGATTTTTTATTGATTTTTTTTCTTTTTAGAGAGAAAGAAAGAGAGAGAAACATTGATGTGAGAGCAAAACATTGATTGATTGCTTTCCACACGTGCCCTGACCCTGATCAACCTTACAGTGCACAGGATGATGCCCACCCGAGCCACGCTGGCCAGCCAGGGCAAGAGGAAGGACTTTTTAGAGGACGGTGCAGAGCTTAAAAGGGAGAGCAAAACACGGGGTGGCTGCCTCCTGAAGACAACCTACCAGGGATCAAGCCAAAACCTGGGCATGTGCCCTGACCAGGAATCGAACCTGCAACCTTACAGTGCACAGGATGATGCCCACCTGTGCCAGAGTGGCCAGCCAGGGCGAGAGGGACTTTTTAGAGGACGGTGCAGAGCTTAAAAGGTGCTGGCAGTCGACTCTGCTAACACTCCCCAGCAGGAGCTGAGTGAGAGGAGGACTGTCTCTTGGAGAAGCCTGTGGGGAAATGATGGGATCAAGAGCATAGTCCCAGCCTCGGGCCGTGGTTCCCCGGCCCCCGAAGCTGCCCTCCCAAGATCTTACTGGAAAGTCCTGCCTGCTCTCTAACCTGAATTCCCTTTGACAGACATATTCATTCTCTTTTATCACTGCTGAAGGAGGAAGCAGGAGTGGGGAGGGGGGGCGAGGGTAGGGTTGGCGGTGGCACAGAGGTGCTCTCTCTTTGTGGTCTGTTCCAACCCAGGAGGACATATCTGAGGAAGGGACACTTCATGGAGGAGACAGAGGCCCACCCACCCAGTGACCTCCCACACAGGCACTCTGGGGGAACAACCCACCTCCCCTATTCTCTTGGTTCTTGGGATGATATTGAGGGGCCTCCTTGGCTGGGAGCTTCAGCCCATTGCTCTGAGTTGGGCCTGACCAGAACCTGGGTGTTCCCAGGATCCCAGGTGGCTGCTCCCCCACCCCCTGCCCCACCATGGAGTTCTGTCTTAGTGAGGCCTCCTCCTCCTGTTGCAGTGGTGGCTTCTAACATTGGTCTCCTAGAGGGAGCCCAGGACTGCCCTCCTCTCTCTCAGTCCCTCCCCCAAAACCCTATACAGGGACATCCACTGCCGCTAGGGCTGCTGTTCAGGAGTCAGGAGTCTTTATTAGACGGGAGGTGGGACTTCCATCTCAGACAACACAGGAGGAACCGGGATGGGATAGGAGGGGAGCAAGGGCGACGCCAAGTCTTATTCCAGGGGCTCCGGGTGCAGCGGGCTGTGCGGGCTGGAGGCTGAGGTCTCCCCCTTCCATCCCCTCAAAGGCTTCTTGGAGGAGGCAGTCAACTTAGTAGAATTTAGCCTCATCTTTCAGTCAATCCAGGAAGGCTTCTTAGAGGAAACCCAGGCCACCTGGTGAAGCAGGTTCTCCTTTTTGGTCTGAAAGGAAAAAAATGTCCAGAGTGAAAAGGGTTGTTTGGATGGAGACCTGAGCAGGAGGCAGAGGACAGACTCCATGGAGAGTGTCCCGTGGCCCTGAAAAGGCTTCTCCATCAGGGGAGGGAAGGGGTGGGAGGGTCCCCTGGCAAAGGGGCCACCATGGCAGTGGCTGACTCTAGGCCCCTCTTTTAGGGGCTCTACCCAGGGCCATGGCGCACAGGGGATGCCAGGGTGGAGACTCAGATGCCAAGCAGGTGGGAGACTAGGTGGAGGCCGGCGGCCTTGCTTCAGGAAGGCAGGGAGCATGGCCTGGGACCAACCTGGGAGGATTTGGGTGACTCCACAGCCCCTGTGGCGTCTTCCCCAGCCCTGTCGTCAGCCCACAAGCAATATTTTAGCGTCCCTCAAACTTCAGCCCCGCACCATAGAAGCAGGCATCATTCCTCCCCTGAGAACTTGTGAGGACTGTCCCAGCCGCATCACCGCCCCTACCCCCCGGCCTTGCTCCCCTCCTGGCTCCTCATGCCTGTCTGCTCCTCTCTCCGCATCCCTCCCTGTATTTGGAGTAGCTCTCCTGGAAGTCAGCACAGGAAGGGAGGGAGACAGCTTATGCTTGGGGATCCCCAAAGCCCCTTGAAGCCCAGCCCAACGTGCTGGTCCCTCGACTCTGGGGAGCATGTCTTTCTTGGGGCTTTGATCCGCCTTTGTAAAGCGGGGATGATATCGCCCAGTTTTCAGGACTTCTGGAAGATGAACCGAGATAACAGCTAAGAAAGAGCTTACACAGGCAAGTAGGTGCCTGATCAAGGCCAGTTCCTTCCTTCCTGGGGTGTGGGGAGCTGTGCCCGGGAAAGGGTCCAATGAGGGGCTGCACAGAAACCAGGAGTCCGGCGCACAGCTGTGGGGGTCAGTCCTTTCCTGCACCACCTGGGGCTGGGAGCCAGGAGCTTGGAGGCCCCACAGTTCACTTCTCCAAGGGCTTTAAAACCTGAGGAGAGAGTTTCAGAAAGAGGAGGGAATCTGAGCCATGCCTGACCCTGCCTCATTGGATCGGATCCGTGTCACCTTCCTCCTCCCCAGACTCTCAGACTTTCCAAACTTACTTCCCTCCTCCCTGCTTCCCCTTCTCATTCCCTCCCCAGGCCCCACCCCAGGTCCCTAACCTTGACCTTGACCATACTCTGGAGGGGTGGGGATGGGAGGTCTGCCTCACCCATGATATTGGAAACTCCCCAGAGGTAAGGACTTGGTCTTCCTCAAACCTGGGCTCCTTGAGGCCTGTACCCCTGACTCCTCCTGGCCCTTTCTGGGCCGGGGCTAGCTCCCAGAGGCCCCGGGGAGCCAGCTGATCCTCAGTGCCCCCAACTAAGTCCGCCTGCCTCTCCCTCCACAGCTCCCTTCCCCATTCCTTGCTCCAGATTCTTGGGCTGCCTGGGAGCCCTCCCAGCACCAGGTTGGCTGGACTGGGGGGAACAGCAGAGACTGGTGCCTGTCAGGGCCTGGGAAAGGGTGGTGGATGAAGCTCTACGAAGGCCCTCCCAACCCCCCACCCCCAATGGAGGAGGAGGAGTCCAGATGGAACAGTTTCCACCTGTTCCACCCGCCCAGCCCCAGACTGAGCCAGCATCTCCTAGCAACAGTACAGAGCAGGGGTCTGGGAAGAAGGTGGGAGCTGGGGAAGTGGGGTGGGGAACAATGACACCATAAATTATCCCCACCCCTCCCTGCCAGCCCACTCCTCCTCAGTTGAGAATGGCCTTTTTCTCCCCACCTGCTCCTCCTCCCGGATTCCCTCAGCAGAGCCGGCCCTGCTCGGGCCATTGCAGATGCCCTTCAGGCCAAGGTGACCACTCTCTACTTTCTGCTGGAGTCCAGAGGGGGGCGGGCAAACTCTCACCATCCCAGGATCTCCCAGGGGCCCCGTTGGAACCTCCCAATGGTGAGAGACGGAGTGTGCCTTCCGAAGGCCCCCACACCCCCGAACCTGGGGAGACTATCACTTTCCCAGGGCCTCTGGCTCTTGCTTCTTTGGGTGAAGATGGGGGCAAGGAAGGGAAATTTCCCAGGATTTGGTGACATAGACGCTCCTTCTCTACACAAAGGTTTTAGACTTGGGGCCCCCAAGTCTTTAAGGGGCACTTGGACCTCTTACCAAGCTAACCAAATCTCAGTTTCCCTATCCCAACAGCTGGATCCAGGAGGCCCAAACAAGTGATGGAAGCCGGGTGGCAGTTTCTTCCTTACCTTTCAAATCAGTCAAGTCAAGCCAAGGGTCAGAGAACTGGTGCATCGGCAGTCTGGATCTTGGTTAGACATTGGGAAGGACTTCCCAAGATAGGAATAAGCAAGATCACAGAATTTCCTGGTTGGAAAGAGGAAAAGTCTGTCATAGAAACAGGAAATTGGGTGGGAACCTCTTAAATTTTACCTCCTCATTGCTTTCCTAGCCATACTAAATAACACATTGGGAGTATTTAGCACAGAACCTGACATAGGAAGCCTCCATTTGGGCTATTTTTAAGAAATCATATATTAACATGGATTCTTATTGGATAAGTATCAGGAGGAAGGGCTCCATCCCTGAAGACCTAGCTCTCCTCCTCCAGGAAACCATGGGAAAATCCAGATATGAGGTAGTGCCCTGAGTATACCATGGCAGCCAATTGCCATGGCAACAGCAGGAGTCTGGTTGGTTGCAGGGCAGCGTGGGGAAGCCAGCTGGTGCCAGATGGATGAACCCAGCAGAAGGTAGCCCCAGCCGGGTGAAGCTCACGTCCCCTGTGCCCAGGGCTCCCCTCCATATGCCAGCCTCCGCCTGCTCCTTCCCTCCAGAACGAAAGGCCCCACTGCTATCTGTGGGGGATGATGCCAAAACCAGTCCTCCTCCCAGCTCTCGGCTTGTACAAGGAATGACTGCTTAGCGACAAAAGCCCCCTCCTGCGTGAAGTCTCCCTGGACCACGGGCTGAGGGATCTAACTGCTCTGAATTTAGCTCACTCCTGACAATGCTGAGGAACCACAAGATCAGGGACTTGTGAGGGTCCTAAGTGGCGAGGCTTGGAGACACCCTGCTGCACACGTTCAGTGGAGGCCACAGTCTGGTCTGCTCCCTCTGGTGAGCGGAGATATGGGCTGCAGGGAGGGAGCGGAGCAGGTCAGGGCAATGGGGGAACTGAGCTTCCCTGCCCGTCCCCTCCCGGGACTGCTGGACAGTCTTTCCACGGGGCCAGGGGGCGTCCTTCCTGCAGATGAAAGAAGCTGAGGTCAAGGAGTCTGCCGCCCGTTGTTACAAATGTGCCTCCCAAACCAGGCTCAGCAAGATGCTCGCCCGCTTGAGCACTCCGGCCAGTCCGGTGCCCTTCGCCACGAGCTGCACCCAGCGATCCATGCCCTCGTTTCCAAACCCTGGAAGCCTTCCCTGATGGCCCTCCCCTCCCTGCCGTGGCCCCTCAGCATTTAAAATCAACACTAGACATCTGCACACAGCCTTACAAAACTCCCAATTCACTGCTCCCCATCTGGCCCTCAGAACTGTGGAACTAAGTTAGGGACATCAGGTGACTTGTCTAAGGTGCCCGCTAGTAATGGAGAGCCAGAATGTGGCTCTCCTGTCTGTTTTGAGTCAAAAAGCAAAACCTCCTTGCCCTGGCTGGTGTGGCTCAGTTGATTGGAGCAATGTCCCGTGCATCAAAGGGTTGCAGGTTCGATTCCTGGTCAGGGCACATGCCCAAGTTTCAGGTTTGATCCCTGGTTGGGGCACCTGTAGGGACAGTTCAGATTAGCAATCAGTGACACAGGCTGCAAGGGGAAAGCCTCTTTGGGGGGACAAGATTGGGTGTGGAAATGGAGGTGGCCTGGGGAGTCCTTTTGTGTGTTTTCTTAATCCACACCTGAGGATATGTTGAGAGAGAGAGAGAGAGAGAGAGATTGGTTGCTTCTTGTAAGCAACCCGACCAGGGATCCAACCTGAAACCTTTCCGTATACAGGATGATGCTCCCACCAACCGAGCCACCGGCCAGGGCTGGGGACTCCTTTTTAGCTCTGGTCAATCTGGCTTTCCCACCTCCCATACGCCCTCCCTGGAGGGGGAGCCCTGCACAGGAGAAGGAGGGGACTGAAACAGTCCCTCTGTTGGGAAGATGAGAGACTCAGAGTGGAGTCAGCCTCAGAAGCATGTGTGGGCTGGGGAAGAGACGGGCAGGCCTGGGAGTTTCAACTGGCAAGAGAGGGGAAGCGGGGGGCGGGACTTGTGGGTTCTGACTGGAGCATGAACGGGAGCCTGTCTGGGAATGACTCCACTGCGCCTGGGAGACCATGGCCAGCTCTCAGGTTCTTTTTCCTTCCTGGACCCCGTTAAAGCTTGAGGCCTCAGGCCTTCCCTTCTCCAGCCCATTCCACTGCACCCTCAAAGGGCCCCCTGGGAGCTAAGCCCCCTCACCTGACAGGGCCACTCACAGAGAGGGCTTTGTGCAGAGGCTGGGCCTGGGGGAGGGGCAGTAGCCAGCATTCCCCGCTTACATTCCACCTCAGTGCCCAGCAACAGGCCGATCATCAGCTCCTCAGCTGTCCCAGGCCTCTCACCCCCTTTCTCCGGGAAGAATCCCCTCAGAGCCTTGGGCCAGCCCTGGATACCCCTTCCGCTTTCTGTACTCCCTTTTCCAGAAGTTTCCAGGACTGAAACCTACTTCTCTGTTCTTCACTCCAGTCCCCAGCAGCCCATCCCCTGTCCTGACCTCAGGGCACTCATTGTGCGGGGGGGACCGATCTTGGCTTCTCCACATCTCTCCAGAAAGCTCCCCCAAGCCCGCGTGCATGTATGTGTGTGTGTGTGGTGGGGGGTGTAGGGGGGATGATGATGGACATTTTAGTGTGGAAGAAGCAGAGACCTTTCCGGAAGCAGCTTCCAGGCTTCTCATATGTTCCTTCATTTGGCCTGAACTAACTGAGAGCCAGTTAAGTGTCTGGTCAGGTGCTGACTCAGTGGGCAGCTAGATGGGGTGTCCTCGCCCCTCCTGGGAGTGGTTATAGGCTGCTTCCCAGCCATACCCTGCCCCCAGCATCTCTGAGTATGTCAGCTAATTTCCCAGCACCCCCATCCAGTCCAGCCCTCCTGGTGCCTCCATCTCCTAGCTCCTCCTAGCCCAGGCTCCCTTTGCTGGACACTCTAGTTCCCTAACATCCCAGGCTCTCCCCTACCTCCTTGCTTTCAAGTATACTCTCTATTCTCCACCACCCACTTCCTCAAACTCCTTAGACCGACACCTCCCTTACCCTCTATCTCCTTTGTCTTCTATCACTCATCTTTTGCCCCCTCCAGGAATGACGGCTGAAGTGGTCAAAGTGAATTGACAGTGAGAAGAGAGGAGGAGAACATCCCCACAGCTGAACCCTGGGGAGCCCTTTTGGCTGGAGAACTGGTTGACCGGGAGGACTGGAGGAACAGAACCCAGAAAGAATAATCAGGGACATAAGAGAAGAACCAAAGGCCAAAGGAGAAGACCGACTAAAGTCCACCAGGCCTGGGCCAGGCTGTTGGGCCAGCTGAGGAGGCTGTGAGTGCCCCAGAGGCGCAGCTTCACCAGAGTCATGAAGGTGGAAGCCAGGCTGCTGGGCCGAGGGGAGACTTGGAGCTTCACTTCAAGGACACAGCGGCCTTCACAGGCCCCAGAGAGACCCTCAAACTGGCAGGTGATCCTGCCTGTCACACAGGAGGGTACCTCTCCTCCCGCTGCTGATGTCTCGTTCTGATTCCTCCAGTGCTTTTTACACAACCCCCGGTCCTCCCTCCCAAGGAGTGTCTGGAACCAGACCCAGTGGAGAGACCTCTCTCTCACCCTGTTCCTTCCTGTGTGAGGCTCCCATCTCTTCTGGGGCTGCCCTGCCTCATGTCTCCCTCCTTCCTTCTCTCCCAGCCTCTCTTCCCAGTTCCACTCACAGGAGGACTCAACGCTCCTGGTCAAGCAGGAAGTCCTTCGTATAATCTCTCCTCCCTCATGTCCACCGTCCAGGGCTGGCTCTTGGCCTGCACCTGTCAGGGCGGCCGGTTCCCAGGCGCCAGGCACCTAAGATGGCGGCCTCCCTCTGCTTCCGTTCCCACAGCCTCGCCTCCTACCCCTGCCTCTTTCTTTCTGAAGCCTGAGCCCAACAAGGTGGGGGGCCAGGCTGGGGAGCCAAGACCGGAGGAAGCGAGACAAAAAAGGACAGAAAAGCCGGCCCCTTGGCATCTCTCGGACATTTGAGTCCAGCTTGGGAGGGAGGGCAGAAGGAAAGAAAGAAAGTAGTGTGAGTTTTTATTTCTGTCTTCTTCCTGCCACTTCCCCCCACTCCACACACACTTTGATGAAAACAAAATCTCTCCCCTTTTCTCTCCTTCACCCTCCTCCCCCTTTTTCCTGGCTCCTACCACAAGCCTCCTGGAATGCAAATGAGTTGTATTATGCAAATCTATGCAAATAAGGCTTAACGAGCGGAAGGAGGGGGCAGAATGCCTAATGAGTAATGGCGGAAAGGTGCAGATGGAAGATGGCAGAAATGACCCCCTCCTCTTTGTTCCCACAGCCTGGAGGCTTGCTGGGGTAGTGGGGTATTCCGCCCTCCCTTCTGGCTGAGAATAGACCAAGGCCCCATTGCTTCAGCTGAGAAGGCCTGGGATGGCCTTGGCTGTAGGTAAGGGACCGGAGAGCTTGGGGAGGCGGGGAGAGAGGGTTCAGTACAAAGGATTCCTGCTCACTTGCACAGCTTTGCCCAGAGACTCTGACATGCCAGCTTCCCACCCTTCAGCTCCAGGTGCTGAAAAAAGGTGATGCTTATGCACATCATGGCTGTGCAGCAGAAAGAGGATTCCCAAGGGAAGATTCCCAACCAGACCCAGGTTCTTCCTGGGAGTGTGGGGTAAAAGCTGTCTCTCTTTGTGCTGTAGAAGGTGAGGGTTGGAGCGGTTGCCATAGCAACATAACATGAAACACCCACCTCCCCAACATCCAGCCCCAGAGGACCTAGGAGTTGGGGGGGATAATAGATTGACACCCCCTGGTGCCCCCACCACCTGGCACTGCCAGCCGGAGATGGCGCCATCAAATCCTAGAGAGAATGGCCCCTTTGTTTCTCGGCTCACGATGTTGGGGGAGCAGGCTGGAGCACACAGAAGGGCCTTTCCCAGGCCCTGTTCCAGTTTGCGTGACTCTTGCTGGCCTCTGGAGAATCCTGTGGCCATCCACTGGTCTTTGTGCCCTGGCAGATGGCTGCCACTGTGTCTTTCTCTCATGGGCTTGCCAGCTACTGCTAGGTATGCCTTCCCCTGTGCTTCCCCTCCAAGCCTCTCACACGGAGATGGTAGTCAGTTGCACCCCTTCCTGGCTTGTGTGGACATCTCCTATGCCCAGACGTGCATCCTGTTCTTTTTTGTCAGGGGCAACCTGTGAACTCTCTCTACCAGCTTTAGGACAGTTCCATGCAACTCAAGCAGGGAGACCCCCAAGGGAGGCATCAGACACAATAGGTGGGCCAGGCTGAATTCGGTAGCCTGCATTGGCAGGAGTTGGCATTTCCACTAACCAGCAGAGTTGGTCACACCTCTTCCATTCTCTGGGGATCTGTGAAATGAGGGATAGAGGACTGATGACATCTGAAGCTCAGTTTAGCTCTACCTGATCAGTTCACTCTATATCTTACAGGAACTTAGGTTAAATCCTTCCTGAAATCTAACTCTCATCCTTCTTACTGCTAGAGCAGTCCCTGCCATTCAGACTCCCCAACGTAGACAAACCCTACTTCCTGGAGATGGAATGCCAACTACCCTCAGCCTTTTCTTCTCCTTGAAACTCCAAAGCTGCCTGAAAACACATCCCACACATTAAAAAAGCTAGTCTCATATCTGCTTATGCAGACAGGACTCCCTCCTAACCCTCTCAACAGGGGTCAACCACAGCCTCTCACTCACCAGCCAGGGAGCTGTCCGTGGTGCTGGAGGCGGCGCCGATGCACGAGTGGATGGATGACAGCGGGTGGGAGGGTGGTGGGGCACCCATCCACCCCAGGTGAGGAGTTAAAAGGAGGGAAAAAAGCAGAAACACCGGAAACAGTAAGGAAAGGAGTAAATGCATTCCTGAAAAAAGTTTCTCCTATCTGAAGATCTCCAGCTTGCCAATACTACTTTGGGAAGGCAGGGCACAAAAGTCATGGAAACTCTGAACCTCCCACCTCTCCATCCCGAATGACTAAAGCAGCGGTTCGCAACCTGTGGGTCGCGACCCCTTTGGCGGTCGTACGACCCTTTCACAGAGGTCGCCTAAGACCATCCTGCATATCAGATATTGACATTACGATTCATAACAGTAGCAACATGACAGTTATGAAGTAGCAACGAAAATAATTTTATGGTTGGGTCACACCATGAGGAACTGTATTTAAAGGGCCAGAAGGTTGAGAACCACTGGACTAAAGTGTCCAGGATTATCTCACTCCTCATCTGGATCCCATCTAGAAATTCACAAGGAGATGGAACCATAGTTCCTGCCCTTGGGGAAGAGCTCAGGGAGAAGTAATTGACAGGGTACAGACCTCGAAGCTCCATCCTAAATTCTAAGGCTCCTACAAGGAATTCACTAATAAAGAAGAGGAAGATA